AGTATTTTGTTTTATAACGTTACCAGTGATGGATGTTTGCATGAATAGACACTGCTGGTTTCTCTGCCATCTCAGCAATGGTGAACCAGAGATTGTGCAATCATGCCATTAGGTCATACTCTAAACAGTAAGTTCCCAAATTTATTTGGCCTACCCCACCCTCTTCAGAAACAAAACACCCCCCAAAACTCAGTACCCTCCTCGCAATTAAGAACTTTTTCTAGAGTCCATAATTCAGGATAAAGTGTGGATATCTGTTTTTGCAGCTACCCTTGATCCTTCCAGAAAACCGCCACACGGTGGTGATACCCACTTTGGGAAACACCGTTCAAATCAATATTTCTTAAGGTAAAGCCTTCAAGTCCATCTATACCCAAATCAACTGAAGTGGTGCAATGTAAGGAATTATTTAATATGGTTCTTCTCACCACCGCCTTTGTTACTCCCATCCAGCAACCAATGTTTTCCTGATAGGTTTGGGTAAGAAGGAGAGAAAGATACTCATTGGATGGTATCATTCAACTGTGAGAGACTTAAAAAGAGTGAACCATGACTGCCCTCTAGCTGGGTATTAAACTAGATAATTCAGAAGCAGGAAAGGAAAATTTCCCTTTCAGCAAGAGACAAGACCCAGGAATATAGCACATCCTTTGGACCCTGAGATCCCGAGAATTGAACCTCCTTGATTGAAGAGACAATTGTGACAGAGGTGCAGCAGAATCAGGAATCAGAGTATGAGACAGAACAATGGACCAGCCCACAGAGCAAATAAACTGAGTGCTTTGGAGCAAGAGGCTAGCTTGTGGAGTAGGGTGCCTCTAGGCACTTAATGGAGGAGCTGAGTTTGCTGATCAAGGTGCTGAATAAAGCTGAGTGACTCTATGTGTGATGCCCTTTGGGCATTCATTGGTAACCATAAGCTTTGTAACACTGAGCAGAGTAGAGTCCAGGCCAAGAGGCTGAAGGCCATTGAGAAGTCTACCTGTGGGCACAGCAGAGAAGAAACTGTCCTGAGTGAACAACTGTGTCCTGAGCATTTCTCACCTGAACTGTAACTGTTAACTTCCATATAAACCCCATCATCATACCCTTCGTCTGTGAGTTCCGTGAAATGAATGACAGAGCCCACTGAAGTACACAGTTCCATATTTGGTGTCAGGAAAGGGTAAGGGATGGAGCTTGGAGGCATGTTTGACCCCTGCTTGGGACAATCAGCCTTGGGAGGTCAGCAAAGGTCAGATGTGGTCCCCATGTAGTTTTTTCGAAGTGGGTTTTAACATGAAGTTTTTCAGGTACCGTTGTTGACCTACCAAACTAGCATTTCTGGGGCTGGGGCTGGGGATCTTGAAATAGACTTCCAAAGGTCTCTTGGGTACGTTTAAGCTTGAGATCTTTTGATGTAATTTGTCAAAACCAGGGGGACCTTAGAAGAAAGGCCTGGCAATCTACTTGTGACCACCAGGCAGTGAAAGACCTACTGTGTGCAGTGCAGTTCTCCTCAGATACGCTTGGGGCCATCAATGTCAGCATTATCTCAAAGGTGGTTTAGGTAATGGAAGGAAGCCCACTAAACATACTGTTCTGGTTCATGCACACATTCACCAGGCTGATGCACTGGCTCTGAAAGCCATACCAATTTTAGGGGGGTGTTTGTCTTTGCAATGTAGGTGGAATCCTCAAATCCAAACTATTTTGGTTCCAATAAGCCTTGGCATTAAAACAGTAGAAGATGAAAATCTACAATGTGTGTTAAAGGTACAAGGTACAAGGGCTATACTCATCTTTCAGTCTCCTTGTTTCCAGAAGGCATCCAATCCATTGTCCGAGTTAAATTCCCGTTGCAATAAAGGTCTCTTGTATGATCTAACAGGCCTGAGATCCAATCTAAGCCTCTTTCTTCCTATTCTGACTTCAGTGTTTGCACAAATAGCTTCTATGCCCTCGACCCCTGTTTTATCCTTGACATATTTAGTATCATACATCTTTGGAGATCCAAGTAAACCTGAATTTACAGTGATTATTCAAACACAATTAGAAGCTGGACAGTCATGACAATCTCCTTTCCTTCATTTTCTTCTCTGAAAACAAGGCGCGTGGATTCAAAGTCATACAGAAAATCACAAGTTGTCTTCGGTTGATTCCTGATTCTTGGCATCCTTGGCACAGTGAGAGGATAACTGGACCACACAGCATGTTCTTTTTCATATTAAAGATATATCTAACATGATCTGTGACAATTCTGTATGAATCAATGGCATTGATCACATTCATCATACTGTGCGACACTTATCACTAGCATCTTCCAAACTAGCCACCACCACGAGCAATAACTCAGTGCCCTCTGAAGCGGTTTTCATGACTGAGTTTTCAGAAGCAAACCACCCAGCTTTTCTGTGAACAAGAAATGAAATAAACTTAAAAAATAATGAAAGTAGTGCTGTTCTGTGGTCTGGAATAGTCACGTAGTAGGCTGAATCCGGTTACACCGATGAATGCAAAATTAACTATCTCCTTCATGGCTGTTAAGGCCCAGTCCAGTTAATTCATGCCCAGGGAGCTGTTATCACAGAGCAAGGCTGTGAAGAACGATCGGAGTCGGTGTGGGCTCTCATGTCAACGGCTACTAGGGGAGTGCTTAATGCAAGAGTCGCCAGTAGGCCATTCAGAACTACTTTCAATGAGCACTCAAGATCTCATGGCTAAATAAATAGCCTTAGAGACTCTTCTTGTAGCATCTCTGAAGAAATTTCAGAGTTCAAAGGGGCCATGTACGGTATTCCATGGATACAGCTGAGATTTCTCCGTGCTGTGCCTGCTTGAAGGAGGCAACTACGGTCCCAAGCTCTCCAGCTGGGGTATGAAATCAGTGGCTTATGAGCAGGGCGAAGCTTTTGATTTTGTGCCTCATGACATCCTTTGTTATCACAAATGAAGAGAGGTCAGGAAGAGAATTGCACATAACAGGTAATCATAAGAAGGGCTGCGGCATTCGTGACCACAGGCCTGAGGAAACAGAAACAGCTGATTGGCCCAAACATCACAAAGCATTAGTTGACGCTGCCCCCCTCGACAGGTCTTCGTGGGCCTGGTTGTCGCTTCAGAAACTCAACCTGCAGCCCCAAGCCCCAAACCAGAACCCACGGGAATGGGTCTAAAAAATACTTTATAATTTAAGAGGGGGCATTAAACCAAGTAGAAGAACAGGGAAGAAATAAAGATGGGGGTCATTTCAGAAAAAGAAGCCAATTCATTATCTAAGGTGAAATTCCCAAACCTGAAAAATGTTCCCCTGAATGGTTGGAACCAAACATTGGAAAATACAACTTAACACTCCCAAAAGGGAACAAAGAAACAGAATCCTCCTTTGTGGCCTTTTAAATGTTTGGCAAAGGGGTTGAAGCCTCCCAAGGAACGAACTGGTTTTCTAGCTCCTGAGGATGGGCATGCACGGGATCTACAGATCTGATGTGATTTCCCATCACAGTTATTTGATCTCAACCTGAATATTTAGAGGTTTTAGGCAAGTCATGCAACTACCCAGAATGCTGCAGGCCCCATGGCTCCACATTATTGTTCTCAGAGCCTCTTACATGAATCAGCCCACCAGCTACTTTAACTTGGGGTTCTTCTGGGTGGTCATGAAAGAACTTTCCAAGGCAGAAGGTCAAGGTCGAGGTTGTTGGGCTGGGATGATTCCGCCCAACGTCTCATTTTAATGATGACCCCACAGAGACCAAGAAAGGTAAAGGTATCCATCGCCAGAGTCCCACTAAATAAACCTATCCCAAACCCTCACAGTACATTTTGGGTTTCTCAGGCACCTGACCACTTTGTAATGTAAACTACCCAACAATGTCTGCTGTTTGGTTCATGTGCAAGGTTTGAGCTGTGCATTTTTAACTTCTGCTCAATTAAACTGGCTGACAAGAAAAATGATGCTCTGTCTACCAGTTATTGATGAACTGGCTTGGCGATGGGTCCATTGCTAGGGAATACCAGAAATAATCTAGGTTTACCATGTTCTGCTTGAGATCCGAATTCATACCCACAGACTTATTTTCACCATCCAGATTTTGCACTGAATTTCCATAAAGATTCTGACATTTTTATTCCACAACCAAGTCATCCTTTTTTCCAAACAACAGGCCACTTTCTGGCAATATGTTAAACAAAGAAAAACAACAACAACAAAAACACAAACACATCAAGGTCACCCTCAGCTCATCAGCCTTAGAGAACAAAGGAGAATTTCCCCGCAGGGTGTCTACAACTGTCACCCATCTCTTTCTCCATCAGCACAGCTGATGGACTCCTACCACTGACCTGCCAGTTAGCAGCTGAACTCTTCATCAATGCACCACCGGGGCTGCAGTGCGAACATGCCGCCATTGCAATATTCATTCTTGCATGGTTTTAGATTGAAGAGTAAAATTAAACACAGGAAGAGTTTTCAGGTCATGGAAAACTGACTAGGAGCACTTTTAAAATACTTTTCCACAGTACTGACAAATCTACTCTGTCTTGAAATCTTTTTTCCCCCCCTCAATGAGGATTTCCATTTGGTACCAATACAGTATATTTCGTTACTTATTAATTCAGTACATTCTATAAGCATTGACAATACCAGAAAAGCTAAATCAACCTCATTAAGTAACATAATGGGAGAAGGTGAGGCTTTCTATACTCAGTGAAGAGTTAGAGTCTCAGAAACCCACAGGGCCCATGGCGGATGCTATGGGTCAGAACGGACTCGATGGCAGTGACTGTTAAAGTGCTATTGGCCTCATGTAAACTACTCAACTTTCAAACATTTAACTACTATATTGATTGCACGTACACTTGTAAGTCGGCTCTTTCATAGAATTGTGATAACTGATTCCATGCCAGGTTCAAAGATTAAAAAAAAACCAAACCTGATTAAATTTATCTTCCAGAATATGGTCCAAAAGAAACAGAGAGACACTGTTGATATCACGATCCAGAAAAGCACATTGAATTACCTCATACTCCTGGGAAAACTTCAAGTTGTCGTTTGCTTTCAACCTTTCAATGTGATCTGCCAGTTCCAAGATAGGTATTGGCGGGTGGCTGGCCATGCCTGGCAAAGGGAAAGAAGAGACACGTTTGAAGAGACACAGGAAACAACGCCACCGCTTCCAAAACAACAGAGAACACTCTAATTAGAAAATGGCCTGAAACATGAGTCGTAAGATGTGTATGTGAGGAAGCAGGCAGATAGTTTGGTTACTCAAAGCAGGGCATGCTCAGGAAAAGATGGGTTTTGTAGCCAAATGAAAAGTCACCAAGCATAATCCCCAAACTAACACTCCTAGTGTAAAGGAAGCATTATTGTGCTCTATGAATCGATGAGCTTAGCTAGTGGGGGGAACTGCCAGGCTTGATGTCAACTTCTGCTTTGAGTAAGGACTGTTAGGCCATTTCAAACTCCTTCTCCTGCTCTGTGTGAAATGGAAATTGTGGAATTAAATGGTGCAAAGTGAACTAAGGAAACAGACAGTGAGGAAGGCCTGAAAGGGAACGAGCAGTAGTTTGATAGGAAACATAAAGTGACTTATGCATAATCAAGGGAAACTAACTTGAGGAATGAAGGTTACCAGGGTAACCGGAATCATCTGAACCTGCAAAGGAAATGATGGTGTAAATAAAAGAAAACAGAATGAATGTTTTAAAAAAAACAAACCAAAACAAAACGAAAAAGTGAAAATGGATAGCCTGATAGATTTCTTTTTCAAAGGGCTAATACATATACTGCAACGTTCTGCAGGATTCATTACACACATTGAAACTAGATTAAGATCGCTTTACTTGTTCACGAGAGCTAAAGTTGACCGACACGCACATACATGCAACTATGGACACAAAGAGGGACATGCACCACAGCTCATCAACGACACCCACTGACAACACCATCAGACACCAAACTGAGTTCCAAAAATGTTTCCACTTGTAGCAGATTGTAGAGGTTGAGGTGGTGGTCTTCTCCTGGATAGGGAGAAATGACCATGCTAGCAACTTGGTGGTATTTTGTCTCGGGTCCCCCTGTATTCAACCCCCAACAAGCCTACAATCTACTTCAGGTGTAAACATCTTTGTCCACTAATGGGAAATGAATGCAGATGGAAGAACACGTGGTGAAAGGAGGTAGCGGGAACAAGGTGATTAAAGAAAGCAGTGACATGAGGTGAGGTAGGGACACATCTTTAGTTCAGTCTGCCAGCTGAATTACATTGGTGTCAGAGACCCCCATTCAAAAATAATAATAATCCATGGTTCAATTGGCGTGAATCCTGTGCGTTTTTTTCTTTCTCTGCATCTTTGCTCACTTTGCGTACAATTTGAATTTGATTTCTCTCGGATTCATTTTGCCAGAGTTCCATGAGTGAGCATCACGGACACACCATGACTTAGAGACCGAAAGTCCAGCTGGCTACAAAACCTGAACTACCCAGTCCCCTGAGAAACATCTGAAGAACAGAAAGAGGAAAGAATGTGGGAGGGGCTCACACTGGAAGCCGAGTTGACATTCATCTGTTCCCCTGATTCTTTGGAGGGCACTGGGTGATGGTGGCACTTTTTGATATTGACCCAGTGTGGAAAGTCACCCAGCAATTTCCTTTATCTCCAAACCAAATTATCTAGTGTTCTGGAGAGTAAAGTCGAAAACCACCTGTTTTTTTCAACAGGATCGCCTCAGTGACAGTGCTGGGAATAGTGTTCTAGTCTTCATACGATGAGGGTCTCCTTCTAGTCAGTTAAAATCTTAGTGGAAGTTCCACCAGCAAGGAGTAGAAACTCTTTGTGGTTATTTATAATTTAGAAAAAAAATTGAAGCTGGTTTCTGAAACGTTTCCATAGACATGGTCGAATTGAACTAATGCACATTCTTGGAAAGCGTGGGTGGGTGACAGTGATGTGGTCATTAAAATGATCTTTTCCAAATGAGGCACCCCGGGGTGAGGAACAGAAATGCAAAGTCAACGGAGACGCTATGTTTATGGAGGAATGGAGGCGGACTGATGTGGACATCCATTGCAGTGCTTTAACAGAGAAATAATAGAGACAAAGATGTTTAGACCTTTTCGAGCGAATCGTGGGAGAGAGTTATTATCATATATGGACTGAGTGGTGGTTTGGCTAGAGAGGGAGGACACAGAGCCAATCAGGGAGGCGTAGGGGACTGAATTACTGCTCAAAGCTGCAAAAAGTAAAGCCAGTTGGAGATGGGAAAAGTATTAGTAAAACAGCAGTAGAAGACCAATAATAACCAACCAAAGACGCGATCAACATTTTCACTTTTGCATGCACTGGCTCGTGATCTGGGTGTTTTACTTTGGAAGCTAATTACAGAGATATCCCAACAAACCTGCAGGGATTCCTTACATTCGAAGCCTGAAAACATACCTATACCTACAGTGCACGCACAGGTACTATAGCATTAAGTCACCGTTATTTAGGACTTGGCATTATGTACCATAAGAGGGGGCTCCAAAAAGCTTGCGGGGAAAATGGAAGTAAAAGATAAGGAAAAATTTCCATGAATTTTTTGAAGCTCTCTGATATTGGCCCTGGGGGGGTCAAGGACAAATAAAAATGGCAGAATGGATGTTGCCCGGAAAGGGGAGGTGAACTTATGGAAACCTAATGGCGCAGGACATAGATACTGACTATGAGTTACACTTCGACTTCTACCATGGACTAATAGGGACATATCACTTTGCTATCAGGGATTAAAATGTCTATCTACTTATTATCTATAAGTAGAGTGATATAAATTCTGAAGTCACAATAAAAAATGGTCCCTTTTCACTTGATTTACATGCAAGGGTCATACAACTTATTGCACTGTTTCTCTGGCAGGTGGGGGGGGGCTCTTCTTGTTCTAGAAAACTATTAGGCAGTGGAATTGTCTACTTTTAGGATTCAAATCTAATATTATATTACTTAGCCAAAAGGTAAGTACTCATATTTTCAAGTTATTTTTTGTCAATATTAAATATTAACATAAAATTATGCTATACATTGACCCTGAGATGGAGAACTTCTTTAGTTCAGATCAGGAAATTATTATCTGTTTTTAAATACTCGCAGGTACTTCTCCAGAAAGTTTTCTCCATTGCTTGATGTTAAAACACAAAACAACATAAAAAAAACCCATATACTTAATGCTATAATCAAGGAATACTGCTTCCTGGATGAAAATGTAGACCATTAGTTATTATTTCAGTATGTAAGGCTGGTGACCAGGGTTGGGGTTGACTGTTACTATCAATATGGAATTGACCAGCATGCATCAGTAGACACCTCTGTCTTCACACCTCTTAAAGTTCTTCCTCTCCGGGCTTCACCCATCAGAACAATCAAGTCAGAACCTCTGAGTGTGGGAGTCAGGTGTCTGTACCTGTGAAAAATTACATTTTACCCCACCCCAACATTTATGTTGAAGTCTCTTTTAGTATGATCATCTGTGGAAATAGGGCTTTCCTTTTGGACTGTTCATGAGGCCCTACAGAATACAAGATGGGACCAAAACGTAATGTTTTCTTCTGAGTGGTGATTAATTAAAAGGAGACAGGCATGTTCAAGGGGGAAGAAACCATGTGAAGAACTAGCTGTAAGCCAATGGCGGGCACGACACCCTCAGGGCTACCAACAAGGAGGACTGTCCCCTAGAGCCCAGGACTTGATTTGAACATCTACTCTCAAAACCACACACTCGGAGACAATTGCTTTCTGTCCTTTGATGTCACCAATTGGTGGTATTTTTTTCTGTTCCTGTAGCACTAAGAAACTAAGAGAGTATCTATGGGACTTCATTGTCAGGTGCCTATAGCTCTATTTCTTTTTCTTCTGTTCAAAAGTCCAATCAGAATGTATGAGAACGAGATTAGCATTCGTGTGAAGATCCCCTTGCATGCTCTCTGACTTCTCATTCAGCAAGCTTTAGCCCAGTGGCCATTAGCAGCGGGAAAGGGCCCGAGGCTCAGCTTAGAAACAATGAGGGCTTGCTGTGTCAGGCCCTCGTCAGCTCACAGCTAGATGCCCAACTTCTTTTCGAGACCAGCATCACATCTGGGTGGGGATTTCCTTTTGGAGCCATGATAGTCACAATCTACAGTATCAATATAATAAAAATAAGATGGCAGATTTAGATGCCTTAGGTTAGAAGGACAACAACAGCAACATAATGGCAGTTTTAAAGGGGTACATACGTGTGACAGGGATGTCACTAGAACTTCTTTACAAGAAATACAACTTTTGAACCAGGGTGCTGAAATCTCAGAGGTATTATAGAGATGAATCAATCCATCATTTTCATTTTGCTCACAAGGGCTCTGAAGTCATGAAAAGTTAAATGATTGCATTTGTTGACCCACTTAGGGAATAACGGAATTTTACCCAGGAGCTTCTGGGTCTTTCTATGAGTCTCCTTTACAGCATGGGAATCAGGAGATTCTCAAGCTAGGAAACAGTCTCCAGGATCTGAAGGAGCCAGCTGAGCAAGACAGAAGGTGGCCAGATACTATTTGGTAAACACTTTCACAGAAAAATGACTGCATCTCCATTTCCTGGAGCAAATAGCCTAGAAGGCTACCTCTTCATTTTCTCACTTGCGATGGAGACTTGGAAAAGAGAAATATTTCTCTACTACAGGGAAAGTAACAGCACGCACAAGATTAATGGAAACTCCCTCTTAGCTTCCATGTCAGGGTCATCGTTGTTGGAGGCTGTGTCCACTGTGGGGAGTATCAGAGCTTGGTGAGGCTGTTCAGCTTCACCTAGCTGGTATTTGCCTGATGGGAACGTAGGGTAATGGGATAGATTTTTAGCCTTTTATTAGCAACTCAAAAATCCAGATTGTCATGTGATGGGTCCTCAGCATTGCATGCTGACTTGTTGTGTTGAAACTCACTGGCTATCAAGCAAAAGGCCCTGCAGGTCACACGTGGCCCACTAATTGTTGAGCACTGTCTAAAGAGAATACAGTCTCCCCGTCTCCCCTGCCCCCAATTACACCATAGAAGGTTGAGAGTGATCTCTAAAGTGTTTGGAGCCACAAAGCAAAGGGCCAGGAAGCAGATGCTGAGCTTTGTGCTGGTTCCTGCACTGGTCAGACCTCCATGTGTCCATCTGTCTGGTACTTATTCATTCTGCTAATTAGGTCACCTGGAAATAACGACGGCCAATGCGATTCAAGTACTTGATCAAAGCCTCCATTGTTAGCAACACGGTGGATTTCTGGGGATTCAATTCCAAATCTCTTCCCTTCCCACTAAAAGCCCAAACCGAACTCACTACCCTGAAGTTGATTTGGACCCAGAGCCACCCTACAGGACAGAGAAGAATCGTTTCCTGTGGGTTTCTGAGTCTGTAACTCTTTTAAAAAAATTAATTGGGATTTAATATATACAACACACCATTTCATACTTCAGTAACATCAAGTAATATTGTACCATTAGATGGCCTCATCTTCTCCACTGGAGCAGCTGGTGGTTTCCAACTGCTGACCTTATGGTTCACAGCACAATGTGTAACCACATGACACCAGGTGGGCTTAATTATGCTATGGTGCCTATCATAACCTCTCTCAGTCCTGGAAGAGCTGAAGCAAGATCACTAA